TGCCAGCATTTTAAACTGCTGTACTTCCAAGCAAGTAACAATTAAAATGATCATAATAACACTTAAATCACTAGTTAAGACTAATAATAATAACTGATAATACAAAAAGATAAAAATACCTGTCTACCTGAATATCATAAGTAATAAATTCTAATTACAATAAAAATTTGTATTTTAACTTGTCTTTTGAAACATGCTAATTCAGATAACATTAGACAACGGATATAGCAATTTATTGAGATTACAGTAAATTAAGCTGTCTAATTACAATGAACAGATTCTATTGTAATTGAAATAAATTAATAACTTCAATATGTATAATAAATTTTGTATTATAAAATATGAAAATATTGAGTAATTTAAATTGCACCATAAGCAAAGAGGATAAATAAAGGAAATTCTGACTTTTGGTTTTAATATATTTGTAAGCACTGCACATAGAAAGTATATAGTTTTGTAGTTTCTTGCTGGATATTGGTTCTATATATAGTAATTACTTATGTATACCCATTTTGATTAGNTTTTCCAGTTATGTAACATCATTGTAAAATGAAACTGACCAAAAATTTAATCTTTTGTCCTTACTTTTGATTTAAAAAATCTATTTTTAGGTTTTTCAAATACTTAATATTACATAGTGTGATAACAAAGCATTTATGGACTTTTGTTGTTAAAGGGAAATAATAATAATGCAGAATATTTCAAGTGGATTTTCTAAATATAATTTAGTAAGTCCACGTTAAAAACATTATGCAATTCTTTATTCTCTCATGTAACAGAACTTACATTTAGAATTATTAGATTCAAAAGTGTTTCAACTTGTAGATAACTTTACTGTAGTTTTAAACAGCTTAGAAATGCTTTTTCAGCATACTAAACACTAGTATGACACTATATTTCTTTCTTTTTTTTATCCTAGATTATTTCGTAATGTCAATTCATTAAAATTTTCAACTAAACAACACTATTATCAATATGCAACAGTTCCAAAACTTTACACAAGAAAATTGTCCCTTTAGATTACTCCATGTTTAGGCAAAATAAATTTATCTATTGAATTTTAATTCCTCTATCTGAATATTTTTTGCCTGAGAGAGTAACAAAATATGGACTGCCAATTATTTTCATAGATATTTTTATGGCGGTATACTCCAAACTCCAAATCTAGTACTATAGTAGTAACTGAAAATGATGGTTTTTGTTAAGTTTCTAACCAATCGATCAATAAAAATGTATTAATTTTTTTACCTAGAATTTGTATTTTAATAAATTTTCTTGGATATTCTTTAAATGTATTCTTTCTTGCCGATTTTTCTTAATTCTTTCTGTAACAATACTGCTGTATTGGGTGATGAGACTTTCAATTTATGAACATTCAAAACTACAAAAAAAAATGTTGATTCAGTTAAATCAGTTTTATAATGAAATGTAACTAATAAAAAACCTCCAACAAATTTATATAGACATAAATTAAAAAATGTAAGTTTATCTTATAAAAACTTCAGTTGTAATGAATAAAAGGATAGGAATTTATTAAAATATTAAAGAAAAATTCACTCTGAAGTGTTAATTTCAAATGCAGATAAATTTTTATTCAATCCTAATTAAACTAGTTTTAAAATACAGTAAACTCCCACCCCACTAACTTGAAGTTTGAATGACTCGCATGGTAATTTAAAATTTCTTGACAGAAAAATTATAATTAATGAATTTTTGATATCATGCATTCATTATATTACTGTAGTTGGAGGGTGCTCTGAAAGTCAAGGCTGTTGGCGTGAATTTTTCTCCACTTCCATACTCTGATTTATTCAAGAAATGAAAAATTTTCAATTATTTTCGAATAAAAGGAATAATATTAAGTTTCTTATTTTATTGTTACTGATTGCTGGAATAGAACCAAATCCCGGTCCCTTACAGAAAACTCCAACAAAGAGAGGAAGATCATCTACTCGTCAGAAATTGCTNAATGGAAACCAGCAAAAATTTTTGAGACATTTAAAATTGAAATAAATGCAATAAGTAAAAAATTAAAGTAAAATGAATATAAACAAATGGTTTAATGTATATATATATATAAATTAATAAAATGGAAAAAATAAACATTATGAATTACAAAATAAAATAAGTATATACTGCTAAAGATTATAAAAATTTACAATGAAGTGCATATTCCCAAAATGATTAAGTAATTAAGAATATACACTGAGGGTGGCACCTATGCTTGATAATTCCACCAGCATGACAAGTAGCAGCAGCAGTGTGCATTTCTATGTCTCCTTACAATCTTATCTGGTAGCTGATTCTATGTATGGTAGAATAAAATAAAAGTCGTCATCTACAAAAAAAATATATTTCCATAACAATAATTTAGATAATTAATAAACTGTTCGGTTATTTTACAAAGACACTTTTTGTCATTGCGTAATTTGCAGTGTTTGATAAAATTATTGTTTGGGACCTTTGTAACTGTTCACATCTGATTACATATTATCTAGATGGTCAAGTAGTATATTATATTTAAAGTGTCAACTTATTGCTATAATTAATATAACCTTATTATAAATTGAGGATTTATAACATCTTACTCTTACCAAATAATAACTTATTACTTACCAATATTGGCCAATTCCATTGCAGATCAAACTTATTTTTAATGATTAATGCTATGTGTGGCTGGCTATAATTTTTATGTGCTAATACTCCATATTCACAAATCAAATATGAAATATATTTTGTGGTTTATGAATAATTAATCAAATACAGTAAAACTTTAATCAATTGTTGATGTCAGAACAAGGAGCTTAACAGATTAATGATCCTTTTGTTTAAAATTATTTAAGTTTCTGTGTCATTAACAAAGACTTGCACATGGGAGATTTAACACCTCCATTTGAGATTTAAAAATTTAAATATGTTTTAAAATTTTTTTAACATATTACAAAATTTCTANCCGTCTATTTCTGTGAATATTCTAATGTTTTTAAAAGATTTCACTCAGAACAGAGCTACTTCACAAACTATGTTCATGCATTGTCAGGCCTATGCCATACATTAAACATGTCTAAAATCCTCAGAGAATTTCGTAAACAGAATGAGGATTTTTCTTTATATTTATTATATTTTGAAGCGAAATTTTGCTTAATTTAAAATGAAAATAAACCTTTAAAAATAGAAACATAACCGAATCTACAACAGACAGGAACAAATCATATAAAAAGTCTAAAGTTAGATATTAAATATTATAACAATAATCACTTCGATCAACACGCATACACTATTTGTTTTCATTTGCACGTATGCGACCTGAACGTTAGTCATCTGTAACGCTATATCGAGGTCACAAATTAAACACAGGTCGCCTGCTCACGGTTAAAGATGTTTATCGGCAACAATTGTAAAATAAAATTAAGATTGCCCCGGATATATTTATCTCTCTTTGGATTAATAATAACGTGTAAGTTATTTATTAAAATCTATGAAGTAATTTAAACAAAAAATCAGTTCTTTAGCAATTCCATGTGGTAAGACTTATGCCATAAAAAGCACAGTACAAATCATTCGGAATATAATAGTTTATGATGGCTGACTTCATGCTTTATTTTTGGAATTAACTATTGGCTGGGTGATCTTTGGACTCGGACAGTTATCCATCTGAAACCGAGCATGAAAGCATGACAGATGCTCACTTGTCGGTTGAAATTTGCTTTCATATTATTTAGGAGTATCCATCATAATGTACATTTCAGATAAGAGAAATTCAAAGATGGTTGACATGGATTTGGAAAAAAACTGAGAGATTAATTTGCTACCACACTTGAACGACACGCTAGAATCTGAATATAAATACATTCAAATTTATTCTTTTCTATATTAATTACATCAGCTTATCTTTATATAAGCTAACAATTTCACCATTTACTTAAATGTAAAATACAATATAGTTAGATTTTTAATGCAAGATTTAAAATTATTGCATTTTTTAATTATTAAAGTTCGACTTTGGCAATAATTTAAATTACATCAAAACATTTATATACAGCTACCAAATAAAGTATTGTTTTCATAATATACTTGGAAACTATTTCCTAATCAAAATAAAGTAGAGTTAATGTAAATATTTCAAAATAATTTTGTATGTATTAATTTTGTAAACAAAAAATNTATTTAAAAAACATATATGATTAAAGATTTCTGACTAAAATAGTTATTCTGCTTTTCACATAATGTTGCAACAAATATTAGTAATAGCAACAGCATATACATTAAGTGTTATGATTACAGAATTCCTGTATTATTTTTTTTTTTTTGGTGGTGTTTTGTTGCATACTATGTTTTGATTTTCAAAGATTTAATAGTCACATTTATAAAGCTGAAAAATTACAAAAGAATCCTATTATTGACAATAAAAGAGAAATCCTTATTTAGGTCATACTTTTACACTAATAAAACTTCTGTAGGTGGGGTCATAATTACGCATTAATGAATGATGATATTTTTGTATTTAAAATATTTTTAAATAGGTGTACTGTACATTATTCAGCATTAAGAAATCCAGTTCTACTCAATAGTTTTTAGACATTTATTTAAGTTTATACAATTCTAACAATTTTTCCCATTACCATATTTATAAAAAGTAAAAAAAAGTTCTTGTTATGTACAATACAAAGAATAAAAGTAAAATTTTAAAAAAATATCACTAAATATTCAATCTAAATGTAAAAAAAAATGAACTTGTGCATAAATACACATGATTACAATATATTATGCATATGTGTGTGGGTGTGTGTATAACTATCTTATAAAATTTAACTAAAAATTTTTAAGTAAAATTTGAATATTTTTCTCCAAATTCTGGAGATAGTAGAGTTCTCAGATCTTATAAAATTTTACAAAAATAACATTTGTTTTTTTTTTAATCCTTTAAGGCTTCCAGCATTGAAACTAAATTCAATGCTGGAAGGACTATTTAATAACAGATTATTTTCTCCAAATTCTGGAGATAGTAGAGTTCTCAGATCTTATAAAATTTTACAAAAATAACATTTGTTTTTTTTTAATCCTTTAAAATTCTGGATAAAATTTTCTAACAAAACCAATGGCAAATTCGCTCACTGATGGTTGGTTTTGGATGGCATCTGACCCATGGCGTACAGCTGCTGCTGTTCTTTGGCCAATCTTCGACGAGTGATGACGCTCTCCAATAGAAACAGCACGGCGGCGATCAGCTGCAGGATGGCTCCTATTGCCGCCAGACCGAAAGACCAAGACAGGTAATTGTTATCCGGATCGGGCATCCAATCTCTACCGTCGCCCAGGGCCCCGAACACAATGACCGCTATCGTGTGGAGGATTCCGGCAGAAAACGCCAGCACGCTCAGCAGAACGAGGGCAGTCACCGCCTTTTCCGACGGTACGCAGAAGATGTAACCCAGGAAGCCTAGGCACTCTCCCAGAACGGCTATAAATCCCAGGGTGTAGAGTACTTGCACGGCTATAAAGAAGGGTTTCTCGAGTATGTCGTAAATGACGGTGTAGTCTTCATCCAGTATCCACATGCATCCTCTGTATTCTTTATCGAATCGAAAATTAGGGTCGGAGAAAGACTTGAAGCATGCTTCCCACAACCCTAATTTTTCAAAGTGCTCGACTGGAAGCTGACCGTCACTTACTAACCAGTAAGGAGTGGCAAATGCTATTATAACAACAACTGCTGACAAGAATACGAGTGCGCACCCACTCATGGTGATGGCATCGAACCTGGACACGGCCATATCGCTTCTTCCTACACTTAACACTTAACCAAGATCGATACTTTATATTATAAACCTTAAACGGATAGTCTTACTTCATCTCCCCGATCTTCTCCGCTTCCCTTCGATAAATCCAGTCCAATTATAGACAGATACAGGCGACAACCGTTCGCACGACAGATGAAAAAAAAAAAGATGGCGCACCGACGCTAGGTGCGCTGAAAACGTTTACCTGTTAAGGTTTCCATAGAGATATTGATCCTAACCGTTTAATAACAGAAATGTATCGCCTATAAAGTTCCTTACCGTAGCGTATTATTACATCTAAAATTAAATTATTTTGATGTACGAAGAGAAATATTCAAAAATCTGTCTTAATCGAAAAATATTTTGAAATATTTCAGTTATGTCTGTCACGTGATGAGATCGTACCGATTGACCAAGATATCGAATTCTAAACAGGAAGTCGGAAAAGAAACCGTTCTGGCGTCGCGAAATAGTTACAAATGTCGACACGAAACAAGGATAACTACTTATAAACGTCATTAAGTCCTAAAATACGTAATACAGAAAAAATGTACAATGCGTCATAGCGTTTAACTGGTTTTGTTACGAGATGTAAAATTCGTCGGTAGCGCCGATCAATTTATTTACCACGACGTTTAAATTGTGCTTAATTAATTAAAGAACGAACGTGCCATGGATTTTTATGAAAAATTATACTTAGCACAAATCGGGCCTAATTAAACACAGAAAAATATACACAGTACACTAACTTTTTGAATACAATGTTTGTGTATCGCCTATTGTCTAATCGCTATAAAAAACGCTGTTATTACTTTATTACATATTCTTTTATGAAAAACACAATAATATTAACATACGCGGATTTTAAATATTGTTTTAAAATCTTTCATATTTATAATAAGTGATTGCAACATTGTATTATTATATTTATACAGAAAATACAAAATGCACACTTCTTTGTAGTCACGTTTGCCCCTGGCTTAACACGCGGGGGCACAGGGGAAAAACTCCTCTCAAATTCGTGCAAATCAAGAACGAAAGAATCAGACAGAACGAGTAAAAATGTTAACAAATTAAAACTGTGTGTAAAATTTCGGGGAAAACTTCCTCCGCCCACTTAACCGAGGTATCCCCCATACATCTTTGAAGTTAGCGAATGGATTCAAACCGCGTGAGAATACCCAGATATATTATTTAATAGTAATTTCTAACTTAAAAAATTAAATTAATTCAGATTTATAAGTAAAATTTCTCTCCAGTTAGTACTTCAATATACCGTAAACAAAATCATCATACATTAAACATGTCTAAAATCCTCAGAGAATTTCGTAAACAGAATGAGGATTTTTCTTTATATTTATTATATTTTGAAGCGAAATTTTGCTTAATTTAAAATGAAAATAAACCTTTAAAAATAGAAACATAACCGAATCTACAACAGACAGGAACAAATCATATAAAAAGTCTAAAGTTAGATATTAAATATTATAACAATAATCACTTCGATCAACACGCATACACTATTTGTTTTCATTTGCACGTATGCGACCTGAACGTTAGTCATCTGTAACGCTATATCGAGGTCACAAATTAAACACAGGTCGCCTGCTCACGGTTAAAGATGTTTATCGGCAACAATTGTAAAATAAAATTAAGATTGCCCCGGATATATTTATCTCTCTTTGGATTAATAATAACGTGTAAGTTATTTATTAAAATCTATGAAGTAATTTAAACAAAAAATCAGTTCTTTAGCAATTCCATGTGGTAAGACTTATGCCATAAAAAGCACAGTACAAATCATTCGGAATATAATAGTTTATGATGGCTGACTTCATGCTTTATTTTTGGAATTAACTATTGGCTGGGTGATCTTTGGACTCGGACAGTTATCCATCTGAAACCGAGCATGAAAGCATGACAGATGCTCACTTGTCGGTTGAAATTTGCTTTCATATTATTTAGGAGTATCCATCATAATGTACATTTCAGATAAGAGAAATTCAAAGATGGTTGACATGGATTTGGAAAAAAACTGAGAGATTAATTTGCTACCACACTTGAACGACACGCTAGAATCTGAATATAAATACATTCAAATTTATTCTTTTCTATATTAATTACATCAGCTTATCTTTATATAAGCTANAATATTCTAATGTTTTTAAAAGATTTCACTCAGAACAGAGCTACTTCACAAACTATGTTCATGCATTGTCAGGCCTATGCAATGATAGACTATAGAATATTTGATCAGTTTCAATTTATTATTTAAGTATGATATGTAAACAATTTATTCTTAAAATTATAATAATTTTACACAAACATTTGTAAAATTATTTGAAATATGTATCTATTAAGTATATGTTATGTTTAAATAAATGCATATCTGTGCTCAAAGCATTAATTTTATAGTGCAAATTTATGCTTAAAGTTTAGGAAAGATAGAAAAATGTGCAATTGAGTGCACAGATCATACCAAGCCAGAAGCTGTACTCACTCTTTTGGAGTTTCTCTAAATACTATATATATATTTTTATATATGTACATAGTCTTCTCTAAGATAAAATATTTTTATCTGGTAGATGAAGTTAGTGAATGTTTTGTTTTCGACGAATTGCACGTTGTTTGTCAAATCTCATCTCCATCTCTTCTAGTACTTTTGGAGTATATCTGACCACCAATTTGACTGTTCCCTGAGCTGCTTTAAGTAGTTCAACAGCTTTCTCGTGATTCTCTCCTTCTACACTCTATGGAAAAATTTTATTAATATTAACTCTTACTTTTAAGCATTTACGAGCATACTTACTGTTCCGTTAACTGAGAGCAACTGATCGCCTCGTTTTAATCCCCCATGTCTGTCGGCGACTCCTCCTGGAATAATTCTAGATATATAAATGGGAGAATTCTGTTCCCTTCCTCCCATTACATTGAAACCCAATCCTTCATCTGTTTTTGGTAATTCAACAACTCTAGGATGAGCATGTCCTTCACTAGCTGCAAAAGCAGCTACGGTTGCCTAAAAGTACAGTTTTTGAGAGAAATTAGTAAGATTATTTTAAATTTAATACTTCGAAAATTTGTTTAATTTTCATAGGCTTAAATTGACTTTAACAAATAAAATGAAGAAAGTGCTCCATTGAAGAAGTGATGTACTGGTATATTAAAGTTTAAAATAATGAAATATTTGATTTCATTATTTCCAAGTACAAACTACAGAACATGAAACTTTAATGATCAGTAAAAATAGAGAAAAAAAAAGGACAATATTATTCTAAATATGCCTATTATGAAAACAAAGTTCAATACACTAACTTTGGCAGTAGCACTAGCTCGAATATCAGGGCTGCCCGAAATATCAACTGTTTCATAAACATGTTCATACACTTCTCTTACTGCATTACAGAAATCACTTTGAAGTACTTTTTGTAGAGCTGCCAATTTTTGACTTGGAACTTCACCACCTACAGATGAAAATGCATAAATTATAGATATTTTAATTTGACAAAACATGTCATATGTATAGTTAAGTTTGTAAAATATTTCATATGTGAAAAAGTAACAACAATAATAATTAGTATTATTAAAAATCAGTTAATTAAAAATGTCAAGGGATTGCCAGTAACGAAACAAAGTTTATGAAAAATGAAATTAAGCAAAATTGTTAGAAATATTAATACGAATGGTTATTAAAATTAAATTATAGAGAAAGCAATCTTAAAATTAGTACAGTTATGCACTTATTTTAGAAAATAAATTTATTATTATAATTTATTAGAAAATTTTACTATTTATTTAATCTCACATTTCATAAAGTAAATAACTATTTCTTTTCAGTTAAAATTGAATAAATGAGAATTTTTTCCTTAACTCATATCATTGAACTCTTATTTACACATGTAATTTAAATCATGTAAGTATTATATTAACTAGTAAGCAGTGTATCATATTCTAGAAAATATTTTTATTAAGAAAGAATATTTTGTAAGTTTTCTAAACATTGATGGTCAATTTTAACTATTAATTTTACATCTTGAACAATATTTCAGTTCACAAAAATCTTAAATTTATTATTTTTAACAAAAATTAATTTGGAAAGCAACAATTATTAATGGTAATATTAGACTGTGGATCATTGTGATATGAAACAGACTCCAAGATATTAAATTACCTGCATTTGTAATCTGTATCAGTTTTCCATCTAAAGAAACAATATCAATTTCAATATATATCCTACTTTAGTTTATTAACTTAAAAATCCATATATAGATTTATTTCTCTTATTACTCTTACTGGCAAGAAGCATAATAAATATTTAGTTTTTGTCAGAATATGACTTGCCAATTAGTTCAAGGTTATGGTCATTAGAATTTTGAATTGTATTCGTATTGAATAAAAGCTCTAAATATTTTAATAAAATGCTATTTATCTCTTCTTTCTTAACTTCATTCCTTCAAGTGAATTTTGTAAAGATTTTTGAGATTATTTTCAAAATTTGAGAATTAAATTTATTTAAAATCAGTTTATAGTGTTTACATATGACTAAATATCTCACTGAATATAATGTTCTTAATATAAAACTTATTTCCGTCTATTTCTGTGAATATTCTAATGTTTTTAAAAGATTTCACTCAGAACAGAGCTACTTCACAAACTATGTTCATGCATTGTCAGGCCTATGCAATGATAGACTATAGAATATTTGATCAGTTTCAATTTATTATTTAAGTATGATATGTAAACAATTTATTCTTAAAATTATAATAATTTTACACAAACATTTGTAAAATTATTTGAAATATGTATCTATTAAGTATATGTTATGTTTAAATAAATGCATATCTGTGCTCAAAGCATTAATTTTATAGTGCAAATTTATGCTTAAAGTTTAGGAAAGATAGAAAAATGTGCAATTGAGTGCACAGATCATACCAAGCCAGAAGCTGTACTCACTCTTTTGGAGTTTCTCTAATAATTCTATTGCACGTTTAACATCTGGAAAAAATTATATTACATTATAAAAACAGTTATATTAATTTATAAATAATTTCAAATATTAGCAAATTTTACTTTAAACTAACTTTTTAAATTTATGATTTATCTTTAAATACTTTGAATAAATTTGAAAATATTTCCATGCAATATTACCGATAATAAGCACTAATCAAATCAAATCAAAGTTTATTTAGCGTATAAGGCTTTCGCCTGTTACAAGGATGCGATTTATTAATACAACATATACTTCCACCACCATTACAGCCTTCTTCTTATAGATATTTGACACTAGTTATCTAACATGTAGTACAAACATTTACTAATTTACTCCAAGTTTTTATTCACAAGTTGCTTTCTATAGTTATATAACCTAAAAATAGTATTGATATTTGCTTTGTCAAGGCACTTATACGTATCCGTTTCATTAGAGCAGTTGACTAATCGACCAATATCAGAATTTTGAATAGTCTCATTTCCATTGCAATCTTCACAAAAAATATGAAATTTCGATAATGTCTTACTACAACTTGGGCATTTGGATTGAGCGTAATCTAAGAATTTGTCATTAATAATTATCCTGTTTTTGTTTAGTCTTGACTGTATAAAGAATTTTTTTACATTAAATGCAAGATTTGTCAGCATATAATTATTGTTTGATGGGTAATTTAAAATTATTTTATACCAGCTTGTATTATTTCGTTTCTGTATGTCTTCGATATCTTGGACAATACAGTTTTCCATTACTCTATGTATTAATAATTTACTTTGCTGTTCATTGATATTTGTTTGGTCCATAAATAGTCTTATCAAGAATCCATGTGTGTTAAATATCTTCGATAGTTATACTACCCAATTTCATTTTAAATCCGTAATCTTCGATTTTTGATATAATACATTCAGTAATTTTGTCGTCAAACCTTCGGCATTTATAAATTTTTGTAGAAATTTTAAATACCTTTTTATTAATATGGTGTTTAATTTATATCTACTCAGTTCCAATCTTAAAGCGCTACCAGGAATATTGTATTCTAATTGGAAAATTCTTCAATAAAACCATTTTATAATTTTTCAAAATCATTGAATTTACCTGTAGACCAGATTGGAGATGCGTAAAACATCGAATTAATGATAATTGAATTAAAGAGTTGAAAATGTATTCCCAAATTCTTCATTTTAGCTTTACAGAATAACACTATCAGATTATTTATTAAATTTTTTGCTTTTATTATTGAACTTTTATAGTGTTTATCAAATGATAAATTAGACATGAATGTTATTCCCAAGAATTTGACTTCATTAACTATTTTCACTTCTTCTTTCTTAATATAAAAGCACATGTGTTTTTTGGATAAATTACTGGCATTTCAAAAAATCATTATAACTGATTTTTTGGGGTTTATTTTAATCTTTAGATCTTCCGAGTATTCAGATATCTGTTGGATTTTCCTGCTAAGTGCAGCAGCCGTTGGAGCTACTAATACAATGTCATCTGCGTATGTGATTGAGTGTGTGGTTTGGTTGTCAACTTGAATGCCGTCTTCATCTCTTACAAAACATTTATTTAAATCAAATAGATACAGAGACAGAGGGTCTCCATGTAATAGACCTCTATCTGTTATAAATGATGGCCAGACATCATTATCTTGTTTAATTATCGTCTTGTATCTCCCAAACAACAAACCTATCATTTTTATCAGATGATCGTCTGCTTTATGTTTTTTCAATTTTCTCTGTAAATCATTTATACTAATTGAATCATATGCTTTTTCTAGATCCAAAAAAGAGCAAAGACTTTATGTCTTTTCTTGATTAATTGTACTTGAATTAGTGCTATTAAAACAAAAAGTGCTATTTGGGTACCTCCTCTGTCCATAAAGGTGTATTGCCTTTATGGACAGAGGAGTTACCCAATATGGCATTCCTATAGTTATTTGTGGCAGTCCAAATATTAAATTTCTCAGCTAAAATTGATGTGAATATTTTCCGAAGGCTCAATAATAAATGCTATTGGTCTGTAGTTTGAAGGCTCCTCTCTTTTGCCTTGTTTATATATCATTGTGAAAATGATTTCATTCCATTTATCCGGAATTATACTTTGATTATAAAATTCGTTGAATTGTTTGGACAAGTATTTGATTAGCTCTAGAGGAAATATTTTAATAAGCGAATTGGGTATCATATCTGAACCAGGTGTTGATTTATCTTTTAGTTTTTTAATTCGATCTTAGACTTCTTCCACCTTAATTATCTCTGCCTGATAAATTACTTGCAATATCTTAAATTTCATCTGTGTTTGGCTATGGTTTATCAAATAAGTTTCGGAAAATTCTTTAAAATATTTAATCCATTTGTTACGTTCTACTCTTATATGCGCACTATAGTCAGACTTCCTTTTACGAAAGCCATTAATTATCAACTAGAAAACTCTGGAATCTCTTGATTCTGTTAATTTCTTGCTAATATTTGAAACTACGTCTTCTTTTTTGCTTTTAATTAAATTATTATAGATTTTTTTATTTTGTAAGTATTTCATTAGTGATTCTTTTCTATTAGTTTTTCTAAATGCTTTTAAACTCTTGTTTTTTTGATTTTATAAATATAACATGTATTGTCGTACCATTCACACTTATATGCTTGCTTGTAGGGACTTAAGCATTTCCCATATCTGAACTCTTCTAATTTTATTGTAAGTCTTAGGTAATTCGTTATTGGCTTACTATCTTCCTCCTGGGTTAACATTTCATCAATTATATGTTCAAACTCTTTTAACAATTTCCATTTATTGTAAAAAGGTCTATAGTCAATGCTTAATGTATGGGGTTGATCTATGAACATTTTTTTCTCTTCTTATACCTTTGTAGTATTTCAACTCTAGTTGAATCGGAAAGTGGTCTGATAAGTCATCCTCCAGAACTGTCAGAGACTTACAGTAATCTATCATAAATTCTGAGCAAATAACATAGTCTATCGTTGATTTTCCATTTGGGAAAACAAAAGTAAATTCCACCGGAATATCTCCCTTTATTCTACTGTTCGAAATTAATAATTGATTATCTTGTACAAAATCCAGGAGTATTTTACCATCTATGTTTAGCAGCTTATCTTTGGATGTTCTTCTGTTTCTAATACAGTATTATCAAAATTGTGAGCAAACTCAGTATCAGTATTCTCGCCAATGCAAGAATTAAAATCTCTTCCAATTAACCATAACTGGACTAAAAAAGACCATCTTTCTATATAATTTTGAACTTCACATAAAATAGTTCTCTTCTCAATTGACGGTAGGAGATACATTACTATTAACCCCAAATAAGAATAGTACCATCTTGATTTAATATTACTATCCACATTAATTATTGCAGCAATAAAGTAATCTGAAATATAATGATAAAGTATGTCCCGCAAACGCTTCTTAATCAACACCAAGATTCCTTGTGAAGGACGGTCGAATTTACTTTTACGTTGAGCATTACTAGTTATTACACTATTTTTATGAATTAGAATATTTTTTCTGCAGCACTCAAATTTAAAATCCATGTTTCTGTAATTCCAATTATGTCGTTTGAATCTAAGAATTCTCTCACCGCAAGTTTTATGTAGTTTTCCTCTCAGACCTTGGATGTTCCAAAAACTTACCAACAGCTCATTTATATCATTATCTGACAGTCTCATTTCATTATCTTTGACTACTCCGTTTACAACCACCAAATTATCTCCACCATTATTATTATTATTTACTGTAATGTTATTCCTTCTGTCGATACCCTGCTTCATATTAAATTTATTCACTGCTGTTTCAAAGCTTGATTTAGGTCTGTTCCCAAAAAATGATTCCATTGTATAATCTCTCTAGTGTTCGTATAATAGGTAAACATTAGATTATCTTTTATATAATAGTCATCTCTTACTAAAATTCTATTGTTTTCTGATTTCTCTAACTTAATCCTATTTATTAACTGTTTCCTTCTGATTCTGGATCTTAAACACAGATCTGTTGTTGTTATTTTTTTCATTTCATCCTTCATTTTCGGTCTCACTGCCCAGAATTTTTTAAGGATTATATTTCTGTCTTTAACCGATTTCATCATGGTTTTTATTATTTGCTTATTATGATTATTTTTTAATTGTACAAGGCCCTCAATTTCTATATTGTTAAGATCTAGAACATCATTAATAAATTTTTTAAACTCTTCTAAAACATCCAAAGTTTTAAATGGATAGTTTAAAATAACTAAATTTTTCTTTGTATTCTCATTTAACATTTTATCAAGTTCGAATTCAAACATACCTTTTAAATTGGTGTAAGAATTATTAGACTTTTCTTCCAGTGTGTGTATCTTTTGACCAATATTTTTCATCTCTTCCTTAACCTTAACATTGTCTTTTTTCATAATGTTGATTTCATATTTTATTGTTTGAATTTCCAGATTTAAGCAATCGAACTTTTCTTGAATCAACTCGTAAATCGATTTTAACGAATATTTAGCCTCGTTGCAACTTTGTAGCACTAATTCTCCCGTCGGTTCAAAAAAATCTCTAATTGTAGCATTTCTCGTAGCACCAGTAGACTCCTTCGCATATTCTTCTGATAGATATTCTTCTCCCAGTAGCTCTACCAATTGATTATTTTCTTCAACTTCTTTAGCATCTTTCTTACGCAGTCTCCCTCGCCCCCTTCTTTGCATAACTGCTTGACTTGACTGCAGGGGAGATCGGGGGAAAGGACCGGGGTTTGTTTCAATTCCAGCAATCATTAATAAAATTATAATTAATTTCAGAGTTAGAAGAACTCTCAAAATACTTATTTTAACTTGATATTTAACACTTTTCCTTAGAATTTCCATAACCAACTTATTCCCAAAGGTTCAACAGAAAAGTCACCAACACACTTGCAGGCAAGACACGCCCCCCCGGTAATAAGCACTATATTCTGCGTTATCATTAAACAAATTGAATAATAATCGAACTCTATAAAATTTTAAAATGAATAAACAAATGTTATTTGATATGCAATTTTTACATATTTTCATAACGTTTGCCATTTACTTTATCAAAATATTAGAGTGCATGCTTTATTAACTTGGAAGTTACAATTTTCTTACAAATAAGATCATAAAAACACGAATTTATTACATCATAATTAAAATGCAACTCCTAAGATATTATTAACAATCATTGTGATATTTCATAACTTTAACAGCTATATTTTGTAGCATTTATATATATATTAATAAACTGAAATTTCAACTGTTTAAGTCTGACAATGATATGAATAATACATAAAAATTAATAAAATTGTCTAAAATTTATTTTTTATAATGTTTAATTAATAAGACAAATAAAATTACTGATATCATAGCAATGAATAGCAATAATTTAAAATGAAAATAAACCTTTAAAAATAGAAACATAACCGAATCTACAACAGACAGGAACAAATCATATAAAAAGTCTAAAGTTAGATATTAAATATTATAACAATAATCACTTCGATCAACACGCATACACTATTTGTTTTCATTTGCACGTATGCGACCTGAACGTTAGTCATCTGTAACGCTATATCGAGGTCACAAATTAAACACAGGTCGCCTGCTCACGGTTAAAGATGTTTATCGGCAACAATTGTAAAATAAAATTAAGATTGCCCCGGATATATTTATCTCTCTTTGGATTAATAATAACGTGTAAGTTATTTATTAAAATCTATGAAGTAATTTAAACAAAAAATCAGTTCTTTAGCAATTCCATGTGGTAAGACTTATGCCATAAAAAGCACAGTACAAATCATTCGGAATATAATAGTTTATGATGGCTGACTTCATGCTTTATTTTTGGAATTAACTATTGGCTGGGTGATCTTTGGACTCGGACAGTTATCCATCTGAAACCGAGCATGAAAGCATGACAGATGCTCACTTGTCGGTTGAAATTTGCTTTCATATTATTTAGGAGTATCCATCATAATGTACATTTCAGATAAGAGAAATTCAAAGATGGTTGACATGGATTTGGAAAAAAACTGAGAGATTAATTTGCTACCACACTTGAACGACACGCTAGAATCTGAATATAAATACATTCAAATTTATTCTTTTCTATATTAATTACATCAGCTTATCTTTATATAAGCTAACAATTTCACCATTTACTTAAATGTAAAATACAATATAGTTAGATTTTTAATGCAAGATTTAAAATTATTGCATTTTTTAATTATTAAAGTTCGACTTTGGCAATAATTTAAATTACATCAAAACATTTATATACAGCTACCAAATAAAGTATTGTTTTCATAATATACTTGGAAACTATTTCCTAATCAAAATAAAGTAGAGTTAATGTAAATATTTCAAAATAATTTTGTATGTATTAATTTTGTAAACAAAAAATTTTAAAATATTTAAATAATTAAAAAAAAAAAAGAATACAAGTTAATATATAATATAAATGGGAATGTCTGATTAATAAACCACAACCATACAAATACTATATATATATTTTTATATATGTACATAGTCTTCTCTAAGATAAAATATTTTTATCTGGTAGATGAAGTTAGTGAATGTTTTGTTTTCGACGAATTGCACGTTGTTTGTCAAATCTCATCTCCATCTCTTCTAGTACTTTTGGAGTATATCTGACCACCAATTTGACTGTTCCCTGAGCTGCTTTAAGTAGTTCAACAGCTTTCTCGTGATTCTCTCCTTCTACACTCTATGGAAAAATTTTATTAATATTAACTCTTACTTTTAAGCATTTACGAGCATACTTACTGTTCCGTTAACTGAGAGCAACTGATCGCCTCGTTTTAATCCCCCATGTCTGTCGGCGACTCCTCCTGGAATAATTCTAGATATATAAATGGGAGAATTCTGTTCCCTTCCTCCCATTACATTGAAACCCAATCCTTCATCTGTTTTTGGTAATTCAACAACTCTAGGATGAGCATGTCCTTCACTAGCTGCAAAAGCAGCTACGGTTGCCTAAAAGTACAGTTTTTGAGAGAAATTAGTAAGATTATTTTAAATTTAATACTTCGAAAATTTGTTTAATTTTCATAGGCTTAAATTGACTTTAACAAATAAAATGAAGAAAGTGCTCCATTGAAGAAGTGATGTACTGGTATATTAAAGTTTAAAATAATGAAATATTTGATTTCATTATTTCCAAGTACAAACTACAGAACATGAAACTTTAATGATCAGTAAAAATAGAGAAAAAAAAAGGACAATATTATTCTAAATATGCCTATTATGAAAACAAAGTTCAATACACTAACTTTGGCAGTAGCACTAGCTCGAATATCAGGGCTGCCCGAAATATCAACTGTTTCATAAACATGTTCATACACTTCTCTTACTGCATTACAGAAATCACTTTGAAGTACTTTTTGTAGAGCTGCCAATTTTTGACTTGGAACTTCACCACCTACAGATGAAAATGCATAAATTATAGATATTTTAATTTGACAAAACATGTCATATGTATAGTTAAGTTTGTAAAATATTTCATATGTGAAAAAGTAACAACAATAATAATTAGTATTATTAAAAATCAGTTAATTAAAAATGTCAAGGGATTGCCAGTAACGAAACAAAGTTTATGAAAAATGAAATTAAGCAAAATTGTTAGAAATATTAATACGAATGGTTATTAAAATTAAATTATAGAGAAAGCAATCTTAAAATTAGTACAGTTATGCACTTATTTTAGAAAATAAATTTATTATTATAATTTATTAGAAAATNGACTATTGTATCGTTAAAAATTATTTTTTTATTTTGTACAAACAAAATAAATATATTGAAAAATATAAAAACAATAAAAAATTATACTTCAGATGTTAATTTAGTATCAAAAACATAAAATATTTGAGTAGCCCAAGACATAGCCAAAGATTGATAGCCACAGCACTGGTGAAAATTTAAATTTGCCGACTGAATTCTTTCGGATGATTGACGTTTTGGATGATTGACTTTTGGAAAATCGACGCTCTACTGTATATTCAAGTAAAAAAAAAATCACACAAAAATGAGCAATTACTTATTGTGACATTTTCACAATGCCAGGCTGCAATTTTAAATCATATTTGAATGTAAAAATAAGCTCTATCTATCTGTTCTCGATTTCTAATTGAAATCATATGACTTCCAGTCAGGAGTGCCACAAATTGGGGCACTTGGAGTATGTAACACCTGTTTGTCATCGAGTTGCCTTTTTCTTAATATCCAAGGGAGCTCTGAGGTTTCATTTTATTTACTCAATGAAAGCTTTACTCATTTTTATCACAGAAAACCTTTTACAAAATTAAAATAAAAATATTTTTTATTAACCGGAAATTTGTTCTAAAGGTTGTGATTGTTTGGTCGAGTAATGAGGTACCATTACATTTGATTAATGCAATTTTGATATATGTATTAGCATCGATAGATTAACTCACTGCATTAATCAAAGGATACCTGCATATACACACACAAACAAACATACACACACACACACACACACACACACACAATGCCCTTTTTACAGTCTGTGGGCACTGCTGCTCCCGATCCAGACTACAGTTCATATATAGTTGGTCATATGCTTTCCTTATCTAGTCTCAATTTTTCATTTATCTAATTCCATTCTCGAGATTAACGAAGAAGGATGGATGTCTATTTTATTTCATTAAATTTTATAGAGTATGCATTTTATTTTATTTATTTCAAAATTTCTTGTATGTGTGAGATCAGCCGGGACGTAGAGCTCAATCTACGCCACTTACGGGCACTAGTCGGTAAGACCAGTTCTCTAGCTTTGATAGGAGAGCGTAAACAAAGATGATCTGAACCGCGAAGTTCAGACGTTCGTCAGGATTCCTTGACACCAGTTAATCAAACTTATTATACGCGGATTAACACGCGGTTTCGATCTGATTCGGAATAAATTGAGGAGACTTTCNTTTCTATTGATATTTTAGGAAGTGAAAGAATTAGTCAATGATATAAAATGATATATTTTTGCAAGAATATTTTTATTCAGTATTATCTTAATAAACAGTAACCATGATTAACCGCATTTATAAATAATTAGATTAAAAATGTATATCATACTGAATAATATTTCATATTAAGGATACATGTAAAGCTTGCATTGATTATACAGTATTTGCACTCTGATTTATGTTTAGTGCTACTTCAAAATATAACTAAGAATAAATGCATCTATGTATAATAATTTATGTTCAAAATTATGTTATATAAAAATTAATGTGTATCCATAAATGGTCTTAAAAATTCTAAGGAATAAAGAAAAAGCATTACTACTTCTGTTTCTTTAGACTTCCAAGTAAAACTGAAAAAATAGAAAATATGGTTATCTTTAATAGAATATGACATTATTCCAGGTAAATAAAACCAATGAAGCTCTTGAGAACATTCAAAATGTGGCAGCATTATATAGTCTGAACTGAAGAAATATTTAGAATCTTTAAAAAATTAGAATTAGTTATCAATATAAGTTTATTAATTTCTTATTCTTAATTAATAATTATGAACATACTTTATGGTGTTTTTTTTTGTAAAAAAATTTTTACATAAAGTATTTTATAATATATTAAATGTTTTGAGTATTCAAATAAAATATCAGAATTTTTCTTTTTATCTAGAATAAAACTTATTCCAAAGAATTTTCATTTAGGTAATTATATTAATACAAGTGAAACAGACTTAAAATTCATATTCTCTAACATAATTATCATCATAGTTATACAACAATGAAATCTAACAAAGAACTTTGCAAATAAATAAGAACTACCTTCACAACAAAAATCTGAATAAGTATAATCAGATAAATAAAATATAAAATACAAATTATAAGTTTATGTTATACATATGTATTAAATTATTTTACTAATACACTCAATATTTTGGGTATATTCTTTTAACCATAGTAAAGAATATTTGTTTCTCCTAGTTTTTTTTTGGTGAAAATCTATAATAATTTATGGAAATGAAATGATTGTTCAGTAAATGTTTTTAAATTAGTATAATTTGAACTGGATTATGATTGTATCCTTCCATTCAATTATATTACAAACCAATGAATATTTGGAAATAACAATGTGTTCTAGTTCATTGGAAATCTTATTTTTGTTCTTTAATTCTTCATGAACACAGGTGAAATTGTATTTTATATACTCTTTCACTCTGTATACACATACTTAATAATAATCAGCTTTTTTCTTACTCAATCTTTCTATGGATGAAGTTATAGCCTAGTTACTAACATAGTACTATATAAAACTTATAAAAGTTAAACCGTTAATTGCTATTATATTTTAAAAATTCTCTCTTAAAAATCAAGTGCTCAAAATACATTCACATGACAATAAAGTTTGAATAAAATAACATTTTCATGCATTAGCTTTTTGAATTTACAGTATATTGTTAATGATCAACACTAATATTCATGAAGTTCTCGTATGCAATAGTTATAAATTCTTGCATACTTCTAGCTTATTGGCTCTTGTTATATTCTTAATATTTCAAATGAACTATTGATATACAAAATATAGTAACCCTTTTTTTAACTGAGATTTGTAACAATAAATCTCAATTACAAGTAGACATTATATGAAAGAAACAATTATAAACCTGATGGTTATCCAATTTATATACAATACAAACCAGATGCATTTGATATTTATCTTTCTTCTATTGTGTACACACACACACATATATATATTTCATACATAATATACATATATAATGTTAAAATGTACAGTATAAACTTTTAATAACTGATATTTTCACTTTGTTAGACCTTATTTATATCAGAATTTTCAAAACAACATAACTAAATGATTTTTTATATGATATTTTTATAATTTTTGATAAAACAAAATAATGAATAATCCATATAATTTCTTAGAATAATATGGATTAAAAACATGAAGATGTAGAGAAAAAAATAGCAAGAGTGATAATAAATTTTATGTTAAAGCCTGTTGTAAGTCAAATATGCTAATTCTTTTAAATGTTAAGACATTTAGTAAAGATAAGTAAATACAGTAGAGCGTCGATTTTCTGAATCAATTGGGGACTGGGGTTGTTCGTATAACTGATATTTCGGATAATCGATTTATGTACGAAAAAATAGTTTAATGTATCCAATGTTAAAATTTTTATTTGTTGCGTGTCGCTTCGTGTTGAATTTTCGTCGATGTTAAGCCTAACAAAGACTATTGTATCGTTAAAAATTATTTTTTTATTTTGTACAAACAAAATAAATATATTGAAAAATATAAAAATAATAAAAAATTATACTTCAGATGTTAATTTAGTATCAAAAACGTAAAATATTTGAGTAGCCCAAGACATAGCCAAAGATTGAAGCGCCACAGCACTGGCGAAAATTTAAATTTGCCGACTGGAATTCTTTCGGATGATTGACTTTCGGAAAATCGACGC